TATATAAACACCCAAAATCTGGCCCACAAAAATATTTCAAATAAAAAAAAAAAAAAATTGAAAGGAGGAAGTGGTAGTTGTCTAAAATGTGGGCAATGGTGGTGGTTGGGGCGTGCATGAAGTATTGTGGTAGTTGTATAAGGTGGTTGTCTTGTTGGAAAGAAGCACCACCTTGTGTTGCTGCTTAAGGTTGTGATGCGGCCCAAGTTGGTTGTAACTTAAGGTCGTCACGTGGCCATCACCAATAGTAATTGAGGCTATGATGAGGCCATCACAGGCAACAACATGAGGCCATGATGCAACCATACTGGGCATCACATAAGGTTGTGTGGCGGTCACACTGGACTACTAATTTGACCACCATTTGTGTCATTTGGAAGGATTTAGGGATTTAAAAAAAACATAAAAAGATGGGGGAGAGGAAAATAGAATTTTTTTTTTTTGGGATATTATGAAAGACACCACAAAGTTTGTGATATTTTTAGTAGGGTGTTTTTGGGAATTTTATCTAATTGTTTTTAAGTAAGATATAAAAATAAGGGTATAAGTGATATTTCATAGTTTGTTAATGGTAGACTAAAAGATTATGTCAATAGGGGTGGTTTTTGAATAATTTGCAAACTTTAAAGATGGCTTTTCTCATTTGTTTTCACATTAGTTGTAGATGGGCTGACTACAACTGGGGACGTTGGATTATTGCTTTTGTATATCTATAAATGGGAGGCAAGGGGGGAATAATAGGAGATGGCTTTTCTCATTTCTTTTCACATTAGTTGTAGATGGACTGACTACAACCATAGAGAAAACAATTTGATAGGATTTTGTTTCCAACTCAACAACTCAGACAATCCCAACAATGTAATGAAACAGTTAAAAGAGAAAAATGATAACAAAACTATTCAAGAACAGAAAGTTATATTGGATTGATATCAAAATGTGTCTATTACATTTTTGGAATTGCAAAATAACCTAGATAACAAGTTAACTGCGTACTCAATATCAAAGATTCAAAAACATTCAAACAGACTCAAAGAAAAGTAAAAAACACTGCTGAGCTTCGAGGGCCAGCTTCCTCCCAATTTCTCTTGTCCTCACTTCTGTCCTCCCCTGACATTCTGCCCCTTTTTTCTCATCCTTTTGAATAGCCTCTTCTAAGTCTTTCACACCTGCAAAACAACCAACAGTTATGGCATTATGTTACACCTCTTCTTCCCTGTGAGACAGTGCGTCGGTAGTCTCATTTTCCGCTCCCGGTCAATACTGTATGACAAAATTCAATCCCAGCAGCTTGATGACCTATTTTTGTTAACTTTCACTCAACAGTTTTTGGTCAGTCAGAAAATGCAGGCTTTGTTGGTTCGTTCGGATAACAAAATGTTGTCCCAGGAGGTAATGACGCCACTTTTGAGTGGCTAGAACCATTGCCACGAGTTCTCGTTCATAGACTGACTTCAACTAAGACTTCATCGATAACCCCTTACTTATGTATGTGAGTGGCCTTCCCTCTTGCATCAAAACTTCCCCTAATCCATTACCTGAAGCATCCGTTTCTATCGCAAATTCTTTGGAGAAATTAGGCATAGCTAGAACCGGAATGCTAGTCATAATCCTCTTCAATTCTTCAGACGCTGTTTGGGCTTATTCATTCCATCCAAAGGCATCTTTCTTAAGTAAAGCTGTTAAAGGTGCTGCGATCTTACTGTAGCCTTGGACAAAACGTCGATAGTAGCCTCTTAAACTGAGAAACCCACGGAGTGCTCTCATATTCTTTGGTACCAGCCACTTGATGATGCTCTCTATCTTGGATGGATCGACGACTATACCTTGGGCTGAAATTACATGCCTCAAATACTCTATTTGTCGTTGCCCGAACAAACATTTTTTTCTATTCACTACCAACTGATGTTCCAGTAGAATCTAAAGGACAGTTGCTAAGTGTCCCGAGTGCTCGTTTATCCCCTTGCTACAGATGAGTATGTCGTCGAAGAAAACAAGTATAAACTTGCACATGTGCGGCCTGAAAGCCTCATTCATTAACGCCTAAAAAGTGGAAGGTGCATTTGTTAATCCGAATGGCATAACCAAAAATTCATAATGCCCTTTGTGAGTCCTAAATGCTGTCTTTTGGGTTTCTTTAAGGTGGACTCGTATCTGGTGATAACCTGACTTCAAATCTAGTTTAAAGAATATCGACGCTCCTCCCAACTCATCAAAAAATTCATCAATTACTGGGATTGGAAACTTATCCGATACTGTAATTTTATTCACAGCCTTGTAGTCAACACAAAATCTCCATCCACCATCTTTCTTCTTCACTAGTAGCACTGAACTTGAAAACGGACTCACGTTGGGTTTGATGATCGCTGAAGCCATCATCTCTTTAACAATGCACTCTTATCTCATTCTTTTGGTAGTATAGGTATTTATACGGTCGCAGATTCGGGGGTTGGGTTCCTGGCACTAGTTGAATTGAATGGTCTTGAGTCCTAATGGGTGGTAATCCGGTCAAAGGTTCGAACACCTATCCAAACTTATCCAACACCTCCACCAACCTTCCGTCAATTCTCTCTTTGTTTCCTGCTTGTCTCTGAGTCTCCCAAACTCGATTAACACTCCCTGACCTTCCCTCTGTAGAGTCTTAATCATGGCCTTCAGAGACACCAATGTATTGCTTAAGGAAGGATCCCCTCGTAGTTGTACCATTCGCTCTCCTGATCTGAACTTCATAGTCTGCTTCTTCCAATTAATTACAGTCTCCCCTAAAGTCTCCAACCAAGCCATCCCGAGAACTACATCAGCTCTCCCCATCTCAAACGGAAAAAAATCTTAAACCACAACCATTCCTTGTAATTCTAGCAGAATCGCCTTACATTCCCCTTGACATGTCACTCGATAACCATCTCCCACTCTGACTCTGAAAGAGGAGGTCGCAGCCACTGGTAATTCCAACCTTCCTACTGCCTCCAAACCAATGAAATTGTGGGAAGCCCCATTGTCAATTAACACAATTAATTCCTTACCGTGGACACTCCCTTTTAGCTTCATCGTTTTTGGCCCCTGTATTCCCACCACCGAGCTGATGGATAGCTCCACATTGCTTTGATTTTGTTTAGGTGCAACCTCCTCCTTTTCCTCTTCTTCCTACAACTCTAGATCCTCATCTTCTCCCTCAAGCAAGACAGTCTGAAACTATTTCTCACCACACCTATGCCCCAGTGGAAATTTTGGATCACATCTATAACACAATCCCTTTTCTCTCTTTCTCTTGATCTCTAATTTGGTTAACCTCCTGAAGGGAAAATCTCGCTGAAAGTTGGAAGATCTGATGGTTTGTGCTGGAGTTGTTCTCGGTGGGAGCACGCCTGAAATTTGTGTTAGTGGGTTGAATTCTCGTGTTGTAGGTTGAATGTGTTTGGGTGGTGCTGGGTTGGGTTATGTGGGTTTGGGCTATGTGTGTTTGGGCTTTATTTTGATCTTCAGCTCTAATTCGGTTTAAGTGGAATCGTGGGCCATTACTAATTCCCCGACTTTTCCTTGTTGGCCCAACCCTCCCCTGGCCTCTTCCAATATTGCATTTCTTTCTTCACCTCTCTGGGCCAGAATTGCAATTTGGGTTTTAGAATTTGGCTGGCCCAAAATGTCTGGTTACTAGAGCTTTACCTCAGCATGGATCTCGGGTCGTAACCTGTTTAAGAAGGCTGCAGATAACACGTCCTCTCTTTCTCCCACTGTCATCGCCGCAATTTCTTCAAACCGTCGGCGGTAGTCCAGTACAATTCCTATCTGACTCGTCGACATAAGGAGTTCCAGTAGGCTGATTTCTTGTGTGCCGCTGAATCGCTGTATGAAGGCCTTCTGAACGCAGGCCACATCAGTCCCGACGTCCTAGATTCTTTCCATTGATACCAATGGAGGGCCTCTCCTTCCATGCACAGCGCCGTGGAGTTGACCTTGTTCTCGTCGGCAACTTGGTTAAGGGCGACTCAAAAAATCCAGCCGTACGGATCTTCGCCGGAAAAAAGCAAGAGCTCTAATTTTCTGCCTCCCCACTCCTGTCGAGTTCCCCTTTCGTGGTGGTGATAGCCCCTTGGGTAAGGAGGAGGTGGCGATGTTTCATTTTCCCTGCGGTGGCCTTCATCACGGTGGTTCCCCGTGCCAGAGTTGTCTTCTCCCTCCCCCACCACCCTTCGGCGAGCCTCTTCCTCAGTTTTTCGACGCGTTTCTTCTTCTGCTCTATGGCGAGCTTCTTCATCTTTGTCTTTACGCCTCATCTAGTTTTGCATGTCCATCATTATCTCCCTCATGGACGCCACTGTTTCTGTCAATCTGGTAATGTCTCTTTGCACCCCTGTAACTCCCCTCTCAACATTATCCAGTCTATTTTCCATTCTTGTACTGACCATACCCCTGCGAGCAACCTCACTCTGATACCAATTGATAGGATTCTGTTTCCAACTCAACAACTCAAACAATCCCAACAATGTAATGAAACAGTTAAAAAGAGAAAAATGATAACAGAACTATTCAAGATGGATTGATATCAAAATGTGTCTATTACACTTTTGGAATTGCAAAATAACCTAGATAACAAGTTCACTGCGTACTTAATATCAAAGATTCAAAAACATTCAAACAGACTCAAAGAAAAGTAAAAAACACTGCTGAGCTTCGAGGGCCAGCTTCCTCCCAATTTCTCTTGTCCTCACTTCTGTCCTCCCCTGACATTCTGCCCCTTGTTGTAATGCCTCAGTATTCATAACAAAATACTGTACTGCCCCTCTTCCATATTGCCATCTGTGTAGTATTCCAATAACAGAATATTGTACTCCCCCTCTCCCATATTGCCATCTGTCTTGTGCTGATTGTCCTCTGTCATGTTGCCATCTGTCCTGTACTGTTTTGCCAGCCTAGCTTGAGATCCTCTATTGTGCTTCCCTTGCCTATTGAAGACCTGCATTGCATTTGATCTCACAATTCTAAGTATGAAGATTCTAAGTAATATGGGTTGGGAAGGGCAAAATTTTCTTAAAGAAGCAGTATTCTCAAAATCTTGGGAGAAGCAACTTAGCACTCTTGAAGTTTTGATTGAGTACTTCCTCTTGAGAATACATTAAATTCTTTTATAGAAGCTATAAAATTAATTTTATTTCTTTCCTCAAAAAATATTACAAATTCTATATTCACATTCCTTTTTTCTTTCACTTCTACTTGATAATATTGACATGTTGATTAAGTGTAAGTATTGTATGCGGACGACATATTCATTTTCTGTTATTGGCTCTCTAATCTTTAAACAACATGATGGCTATATATACTCTTGGAATTCTTTTTTTTTTTTTTTTTTTTTTCATTCAAAACCGGAGTTAAATATATGGAGACACTATGTTTTATGTTCTGTTATTGACACTCTATTCTGGAGACACTATGCAGACTGTTACAGGTGCATAAGTACATGGTTTTTGGAAGCCCATTCTTTGAGGTTGTGTTTGGTTTTCTATCTCAGCATAAAACCTTATTAGGTGCCTAGACAAGACACGTATTATGATTTTCAAAATTCTAACTGAACAGGGAACGCCATTTTTCTTTTTGTGTTCGTTTCTTGCAGAGATGCTTCCCTTAGAGAGTTGCGTGCCAGTTCAGGGGACCTTGCAAGGCTTGCAAGTAGTGGTGAGAATTTAAGTTCTATAATTAATCGAGAAAGAGATACGGATTTTGGCCAACAAAATAAAAAAGACAACCATGATGATGTAGCACCATGTTTTCAAAGTGGAGTTCTGCGCACTAACTGCATTAACTGCTTAGATCCTACTAATGTTGCCCAGTATGCTTATGGGCTTGCTGCTTTGGGCCGCCAACTTCATGCTATGGGTTTGACAGACATGCCAAAAGTTGACCCTAATAGCAGCATAGCTGCGGCTCTTATGGATATGTATCAGAGCATGGGGGATGCTCTTGCACAACAATATGGTGGCTCTGCTGCTCACAATAGTGTATGATTATATCTGACATGCTACATTTTAATATGCATTTATTGGTTATTGAATTTGCACGTATAGTTGTGTGTCTTCTTTTTGGACTACAAATACATCCTTCTTCTCAGGTGTTTCCAGAGAGGCAGGGAAGGTGGAAAGCTACTACCCAATCTAGAGAATTTCTTAAGTCTATCAAGAGATACTACAATAATGCCTACACCGATGGTGAAAAGCAAGATGCAATAAATTTGTACTTATTTCCACCTGTCATATTTTATTATTAATTTTACATGTATAAATTGCTTTTCCCTTATCCGTAAAAGATTTATTCCATAAAGGCTTAAATTGCTTTTCCTTTATCCTTAAAAGTTTTATTCCATAAAGGCTTAAATTGCTTTTCCCTGATCCTTAAAAGTTTTTATTCCATAAAGGCTTAGTAATTATCTCTGAAAAGATAGTGATACAATGCTCCGGCTGTAAATTAAATTGGTTTAAAGTTTATGTCAGCTTGTTTATGTTCTGAAACTATTACGTTTTGTTGGTTTTACCAGATTTTTGGGTTATTTTAAACCACAGGAAGGGAAACCTGCTCTATGGGAATTGGATTCTGATTATTATCTTCACTTTTCTGGGATTGGTGATGACGTATTCCCTGATAAATGGTAGGTATTTTATCTTTGCTTTGTACAAGCTATAAGCTTAATTGACTCTTCTTACTCACACACAGTAGCAGATATGTTATCCTATTAGAATTTAGTTTTTTTTTTTTTTTCTCTTTCAATTGTCTACTTTGCAGTTTGGAAGCTACTGTTAAAGCTGTAGGACATGGAAGGATTCTTGCCCCTGTTCCAGCATGCAGAGAAGATTTTTCTCGGCTGAAATTGACTTCCTTTGAAAAATTGATAGCGAAAACATGTATCTCAATGAAAAATGTTAAGACTTTGCAGTGAACCAGACCAAAGACCAGGTGGTGGTGCTGGAAATTCGGGTGTGGCACCTGATGCAGCGTAAATCTTCCTCCCTTTCTCATTCTGCATTTCGTAAAAGATGTTGATTTGTTTACTCTATTAGTGTTTCTGCTCATATTTATGGCTTCCTCCATCTCTTCTGTTCTGTTGTTGAGGACATACTTTCCCTCTAAGCTTATGATTTCAGGTTTTTCTACCTTTTTAATACAGCTTCAGATACTCTTTTAGTCGACTATCTAGGGTACCATACAGTCTTATTTGTTATATGTATTGGTGTGTAGCTGTGTGGATCACCTTAGATCTAGAGTCTTGTCTCTCCACCAAGTTCATAAGCATGTTTAGTTTCTTCATTTGGTTACTAGTTTTAGAGCACTTGTTTGAACTTAATAACTTGCAAAATAGGCTTCTTTTGTTTACATTGTTTTATGCCCACAGTTTTATTTCATCACTCTTAGTTATTTGCATGAAGTATTTTCATTATCTATTTTTAGTTTGTTTAACACTTTGATCTTGCCAGTGCAAATATGAGAATTTGTGTGGCAATTTATTTTATACTTGTTAACTCGGGCAAGTTTCTTATGCAGTGAAATACAGTTGAAAAGTCCAAATTGGCTCTTCGGCCAGAGAAAGTTTGAAGGAAATGTGTCTGCTCCCAAAGTTACGTCACATGAAATTGTAAATCGGGAAGTTCATAATGAAATAAGAGCCGACAGTTTCTGTGACTTGAATTGGCTTTCTTCGGTGGATGACATAAATGAAGAAGATGTCTTCCAGAGGTAATTTTCTCTGTAAAGCATTCCCATTTTGCATAGGAGGACACTTCAATGCCGTTTCTCAGTGTTATAACTTAGTCAACCCAACTCAGTTTGTCACTAGCTAGGTTGGCCCTCAAGTTGCTTGTTTTGAGCCAAAGCTTGAACTCCATAATAGCATTTAAGAACCAAAAGGTGACAATGCATGGGTTTTCTACTCTGCTCATGGGCCATGTAGCTATTGGTATGATTTAGGTGAAACCTGGCATTATGTAGCAAATATGCATGCTTGGAGTATCTTTGACATGATTCTATACGCAACTAACAGTTTATTTGTGAAGTTGGAATAGGATTTTGACTTTAATTTGTTCAATTAACGTTGATGGTTTTAGAAATTTTCATCCTTTTTAGATATGTAGGTAGCCTTAGATTTATTGATTAGTGTTGTAGTATGTTGATTCAGACACAGTTGTTATGTTTTAATTCAAACACAATCTGTTGGAGATGACCACCATTAAACCTTAGATACAAGAACATTTTATACATGTGTAGTTTATCTGGATTTATAATCTTCAACACATGAAAATGTTACTTAAAAGTTTCACTCTAGAATTCCCTGAAAATACAAATAACCCCCACCGTTTTTTTTTTTTTAAAGGAAAAAAAAAAAAAAAGTTAATCAAATGCTAATGAAATTTCCGTTACAGTTGAGCAGTTGTGGCTAAAATGGTAATTGATGATGCAAAAGATCAGATAAAATAAAATAAGAAAATAGATAACTTTAAACTTCATGAGATATATTGAAAATACGGATAACTCTTGCTTATGTTATCTTTTTTAAAATTATTTTTGAGTGTAAAAATACGTTAGTAAACTTTTTTTTATCTTATGTTCTTGGAATATGTCAGAACAAACCTTGAAAGAATTCATAGAAGTTTCATTTATTTCATTCCATGCACCTATATTAATATGATTTTGATGGAATAGATAAAATGTTGTATTAAAGGTAAATTCAAGTTGAAGAGTCAGATTGATTTTTTTTTCCAGACAAAGTAATTCATGTTGAATTACTATGTTTTCTTATAAGATAAAAAAAAAAATTATTAATTCTTTGAAACTTTGAATCATTTAGAAATTACAAATGAGCTTTTCTCAATTATAAATGGTTAGAAGTTATTTTTCAATTTTTCTTCACTCATATCGCCACATTCCCTGGCCTAGCTACGGAGTTTAATTTATAAGTGGTCCCTCTTTTTTGTATAATTAATTATTACATTTGGATAATGTCACCAAAAAAGTATAGGTTTACTTTTATTGAGGAAATGATTGGGGGTCTCAAGTTTTTGGCCATCTAATGAAAGCTTTTAAAAATCAGAAGAACATGCGGGATTTCACTAGTTTGTGTGTGTCAGGTGTCCGTCATGGATAATTAGAATTATGTAAGGGGTTTCTTGTTATTTTTGAAAAACTAAAGGGTTATTTGTTCTTTTGAGAAATCACCAAAGGTTTAGAGTTTTTACTCCAATACCAAACTCAGAATGGTGATGGCACTTTAAAATGGGAATGTTTAGTGTTCATTTCTGTGACTGATTTTCTGATCTGTTTTCATTTCTGTTTATAACTTGTACAAAAATTATCTTTACTAGTATCCATTGTGCGCTTACTAATCACATATTTACTTATTTATTGTCTCGTGGTTATCTAGGTATCTCACAATGGCCTCTGCTGATGAAGCCAATGGTTGGTATGGTGGAACACTGCTCGGTGATGAAGACGAAGGCAGTGAGATATATACTGAACTATGCCAGGTAATGTGTTCATGTTCTTTGAAGGAAAATGAAATATAGCTAGCTCTAATCATTTTCATAATTGATGCATATGGGCATGTACTGGAAACAAGCTCTTGTAGTGCCAGCAATGGAACCCTTCCATAATGATCATCAGAGGGAGATGGACTATTCTCATGTTCTAGAAATGAATAGACTTGATGTGGTAGACAAAGTTGTTGTCGAAGCAGAGATGGAAGCAGTCCTCAGGGAGTATGATCAAATTGGTGCTGATCTTTGGATCATCCCGGCATCATGTAAATTGTTTACTGAAGATTCGAGTAGGTTGTCGAGATGTGGATCATTGGGGAGGAGAAGTGGAGGAAATTGTGAAACCAGTTTGCAGCTGTGTTTCGTGGCACTGTATATATAATGTCATTGTTATCTTTCCTAAATGTAAATTATTTTTGTTACTGATTTCGAAGATAAAAAGCATTTGCGTAGTTATGTAAAGTTTGCTAAATGGTGATAATGTTATCAATTTCTGGAAGTCAATCACCACAACATGAGTTTTAATATTTCAATGGTTTATTTTTCTGTTTGTCCACAGCCTCGCTTCAGAGAAATAATAGTTGCTGTCTCTTTTCCTGTCCTCAAAATCCATTTGTCTTAAAATTAAGGCCAAAAAATACCTACCAGTTGAATAGGATTACTTCATTTTGCTTTAGTAAATGGTAATCGGATGGTAATCTGAAGTGGTAATAACTTTAAAGATAGATGTAGATATTAATTAAGTTATAATTTGAAATATTTGTTGTATGATCAATGGTTAGGTAATCAATTGGCTCTCAGATATGGTATTGGTAACCAGAAATTTTTGTTTATATTTACAAGAACAAGATTCTTAGTAACTACTTTTATGTACATCAAGAAGGAACATACAATTTCAAACACAATCTTTATTTCAATTCCTTCTATATTTCTAGATCTTTATCCATTTCTGGCGCCTAAAAACTGCATTTCTCACACATTTCCACTTTCGGAAATTTTGTTGATCCTTCAACCAAACATTATAATCCTTCCCCCGCTTGCACTCAATAAAGTCAGCTAAATCATCAAAGTCAGACAATCTTTGGGAACCTTCAAGTAGACACTTCAGAAAAGCCTCACCATTGCAGGCTTCAACTGTTTCCTCTTCTATAGCTAGATTAGATTCCATCTCATTCACGACAAAGGCATTTTTTGAAGTTTCTGCACGTTTGTCTTTTTTTCTTTCATGTATATTTGTGGGTTTGCTGTGTTACGAAACAAAAAGAAAACATGAGATTATAGAGATGAATGGCAGTACAAGAACCTTCAAAATCAAATTACCATAGGACATGGAAGGAGAAATAATATAAGAGAGGGGATGAGAGTAAATAAACAACAGAAGAGAAAAATTTAGGATTTGGAAGAAATTATCATAAATAATTTTCAATCATCAAGAAGCTGTGCCCAATATTTAACATACAACCTATCAGGTTCAGTCATAAGAGCTAAATATGAGATCCTTATAAATGTCCCAAGTTTTGATGGTATCATAATTAAACAGTGTCCAGGATAAGACTAATAATAATCAACAGAAAACCTGATCTCCAGAACCCAAAAAAAATAAATAAAAAATAATAACAATAATAAGCAAAAGAAAATCAAATAATCAAAGAAGTTCCTAAGTATTACACATACATCTAACATATGTCTTTAGGTCTTATAAGGGTCTCCATTAGAGAAGCTACCATATTCGTTGCAAAATGCATCACGGTTAAATTAACAATGAACAAGATAAGTAAGGAACCAAAAATATAAATTTGGGAAATGCAATGAAGTATAATAACTGGATATGTGAGAAGTGTCATAGTTCATGCATAACTGACAAGGAAGAAAATCAGTAAATAGGTTTGTAGGGGTAATAAGTCTGAACTTATACCAACTTGCAGCACAAGGGCCTTAATAACTACCTTGTCATGCAGAAAAAGGATGTCCAATACACATTTTGGACCACCATAAATCTTATACAAGTAACAAAACAGTAAATTAAATTTTCAAGCAAAAGCTAATCAGCATCATTCTAGTTGTGCATCTTATTCCCCCATTTTGTCACAGGTTGGATCCTTATGAAATAAAATATAAAGTAGAAATTTACAGTTTCAGAAGTCTGTGCCCCCAATTGTGGCGTTGATTCAGAGATTTTATATCACAACAATGCATTTTGACGTTATAATATCTTAGAAGATATTATAAAATCTCTGGTAGCAAAAGATCTGCATTAATATAAGTTATTTTTCTTCTCTCTCTCTTTAATTTCTAGTTACTTTAACAAAAGGCATAGTTTTAAATATTGGATGGATGAGAGATTTTTGTGTAATCTTTGTTTGACATTGATTCGAAATTTGTTGATGATATTTGACTGAAGATTGTTGTATGGTAAAAATTTTGTAAACCGTCAAAACTGAACCAATTTTCTTTGTTCGGTTTCAATTGAAGAAGGCTCCGGTACAGTTGGGTATTTGAAGGAAAAAAAAAAAAAAAAAAAAATTAATTGGGTTCAGTTCCATTCAGACCAAAAACCAATATTTAGTGACTTTATGCAAGTACAAAGCTAAATTAATATGCTCACCCAGAGAAATTTGGAAAAATAAATCCTATGTTGATGTCAAAATCATTAAAAACAAACTCAGTCAGTCTCGCTACCTCTTTAGTTGCCACCCAATTTATGCAGATAGCAAATATTAAGGCAAATGAAGAACTTATACGCGCAATGTAAATAAGATGTAAAGGTTGTCTGCATCTTTTGAAATTTTGATGCAATTGCTTTGCTTGACTTCTGCTCCAGCAAAGCCAGCAACAATGACAACAACGTTAAAGCAAGGAAGGAAAAGGGATAAAGGAAATAGAAGAAATGATTTAGGGAAGACATAAAACTCACTTCTCCTACTTTATCATAAGATCTTGATGAAATAAATTCTGATCCAGAAGCAAATAATGGTGACAGAGCATCTAAATCTCCCTCTTCAAAGACAAATAGATTCAACAAGGACATCATTGTAAAGATGCAGTCTTTAACTAAAAAATAAAGCCCAACAACATAACTTAATGAGGGCAAGCCTGAAAAATGCAGAAACATCCATTTGGACTCTTTATGCCTCATCGGGTGAGTTTTCATCACATCAAACACAAACTTCTGAATTGGTAGACAGATATTGAATTGCCGAAAACAACCAACTAGATGCACTATGGATTCATATTCCTTACATAACAGAACATCCTACAAAGTTTTCAGACAACCTGAATTGCTGCTGTGCCTCAGGCACCAAATTGCTTGCAACATCGAACTACTCATTAACTTCAATATNTTTGCTTGACTTCTGCTCCAGCAAAGCCTGCAACAATGACAACAACGTTAAAGCAAGGAAGGAAAAGGAAGAAAGGAAATAGAAGAAATGATTTAGGGAAGACATAAAACTCACTTCTCCTACTTTATCAGAAGATCTTGATGAAATAAATTCCGATCCAGGAGCAAATAATGGTGACAGAGCATCTAAATCTCCCTCTTCAAAGACAAATAGATTCAACAAGGACATCATAGTAAAGATGCAGTCTTTAACTAAAAAATCAAGCCCAACAACATAACTTAATGAGAGCAAGCCTGAAAAATGCAGAAACATCCACTTGGACTCTTTATGCCTCATCGGGTGAGTTTTCATCACATCAAACACAAACTTCTGAATTGGCAGACAGATATTGAATTGCTGAAAACAACCAACAAGATGCACTATGAATTCATATTCCTTACATAACAGAACATCCTGCAAAGTTTTCAGACAACCTGAATTGCTGCTGTGCCTCAAGCACCAAATTGCTTGCAACATCGAACTACTCATTAACTTCAATATAGAAGCAAGAAGACATATATCTTGGGGACTTTTGACCTCAATACACCACAAAGGATCATGCATATTATCGGAAGAGCATCTATGTACAATGGAAGTTAATATTGACAACATTTTGTCTTTGCATGATTTATCAAAAGCATTTAGGCTCTCCCTTATATATGCAATAGAGGCATCCAGCAGGTCAGATTTTGTTCTATGAGCTGTATTGTTTACATAACAATCCAAAGATTCATTAAGCTTTGTAACTAGATGATCAATTTTGTCCTTTGTAGCTGGCTGAAGATAAGATTCAAAAGCCAGTTGACTACTTCCAAACATACACGATTGGACACTTGAATTGTTACTACCTATAGGAAGGTCATCCATATGCAAGTTGGAAAAATGGCTTTTGTACAAGATAATGGATCTCTCCAATGCTGTTAGGTAGCAATCCATGATTCCAAGATCTGGATTCAAATACTCAGAACGTATGCAAACACCAATTGCTTCAGAGACCAATAAAATCAAATATGGCTGAAACATTTTTGGTGCAGAATGCATGATAGGGTTAAGAAGCAACGATAAAGATACAATCAGGCTCATCTCAGGAGTCCTAAAATCTTTGCCAGGCTGCCAAAATAAACTGTTGACGAAACATTCAAATGATTTGTCACCAGAAATCGACAAAATAAAATGTGCAGCAATCACCTCCATCACAGTTCCAATATCACCATGACCAAAATGGCACATGAATAGCATTTCACTTGTGGAAGACGCAGAATCAATTAGCAAAAAGTACTCCCTCAATGACTTATGCATTAGTAGCTCGTCCGCAAATACCTAATATCAAAACTTCAACATTAAGACTTGTGTTTAGCACATTTTATATAATAAAAATTTAAAGAGTGCTTTCTAGTTCAATACTAACAGCAAATACCCTTTTAATAGCACTTATTAATAGAACTTTTCAGTAAAGAGAAAAGTGCATCGAATTGAAATGATTGAGTACCTGAAGCAACGCACATGCGGAAGCAATATTTGTGATAGAAATTCTCTCAGATTTTTCATTTAATTCAACAGAAATCAAAGTGCGAAGTATCGAAAGAAGAACTCGGCCTTTTTCAATTAAAAGACTTTGGTTAGACACCAGCAAGTTCAAGAAAACCATACAACATCTCAAAAGCAAGGCTAGTTCTTGGAGTGATGCCGATGCTCGTCCACAGAGAAACTCTTTAAATCTACCATCAACTTCTTTAAAAAGAACATCAGCAAGGCTACATGTGTTATTGTCATTTAACTCAGCTTCGATCCAAGACGATTTTATCAGTAGGTAATACAATCTCTTCAAGATTGGCAGCTTTATTCCCTGAAATTTTAGAAAATTATAAGCAAAAAGAAAGTCATGAATAAGAAAAGATGTGGAGAGAGATATGGAGCACCTGTGGAGAATGAATAACAGAGATTAGGGTTGCAGAAGAAAAGGTGGGTTCGGTGTAATTCTTCTTCTTCAGTTGTTTGGCAGCCATTTTCATTAGAGTTTTAGAGGAAGAACAAAGCCCAGATCTTGGGTTTTTGCAGTTGGCGGTTCTCGTTTTCTTTGGTGGGAATTTCCAGATTTCAATTGCAAGTTATCTCCAAAATGGCTACNCCAAGACGATTTTATCAGTGGGTAATACAATCTCTTCAAGATTGGCAGCTTTATTCCCTGAAATTTTAGA